CCCCAAAACCCCAAAACCCCAAAACCCCAAAACCCCTGAGATATTATAATTTATTGAATCAGATGACTCCTAAATTACCACTTCTTAGCTTTGTCTTTCAGTAGATTTGTGAACAAAGTGCTCTTCTTTATGCTCTTGTTGTTCTGTTTTGAGTGGGATTTTGGCTGAGGATTATGGGCCAGGGCTTACTTGGTGCTTGGTGGTGAAATAGGTCAGTTTGTTGGTGGAGTCAGCTAGCCATGGCTTTATGCCGAGGGATTTGCTATTGTTAGAGGGTGGATTACTGCTTTTGGGAAATTGGTATTGATCCTTTTTGGAGGAGGTCTTTTATATCAAATTGTTCTAATTTTGAAAAATTATTTTGACTTTCCACGAAGTTTTGTCAGAGGCCTTCTTTCGACTGGCGTGGAATCCTTCAGAGTGAAGATTTTGGATATTTCTTTACTGAAATGAGACGAATGTGTTTCTAAGAACTTTTGTTTCAACGCTACTGGTTGTGCTAGATGGCGCTGCTTCAGTTGGATGAGTTTTCAGTTTGTCTGTAAGAGTTACTATGAGCTTACATCTTTAATAAATGAATCATATATAGTATCCTGAGTGAGCGTCCTATAGCGGGAGTCTAAAGATCTGTGATTATGTTGCTGGCTTTTGAAGGAGATAGTTCCTCTTCGGATGTTGAAATCTCTCATTTTATTTATCCTAGCCAATTCTTTCCCACGGAAAATCTTCAAGGATTTATTATCTATCTTGGTCAAGACATTTCTCACCATTATCTCTTGAATGAGGTCTAAAATGATGCTGAGTTGAATTAATCTGCTTAAATTCTAGATTTTTCTTGGTTCTAGGAAGGTGCATTTCTGTAAATAGTCAAAATGAAAATACTTCTTTTGACCAAACTATTTTTCCTGGTGAATCCCTTATTTTTGGGTAAACTTGTTCTCTGAACTTTTGATAGTTCTAGATTCAGTATGGCTATGGCTAAGAGTTCGGGAAATACAGGTATCTTCGACTTCATCGATAGGTGTAGGCTGGGAGTCTTCAGAGTTGATTGAGTCCATCTTATTTGGCATGTGCGATTCGAGCCTTTTCCTCTTTTTATCTAATGAGTTGATCATGGGAGATCCGGCTCTGAGTAAGTAAAACTGATAGAGTACCTCATGTCTTCTTTAACAATGCTATCGTCCTGGATTCAGGCTACATTCTTGTGACTAGGATTTCGTGAATCGGCTAAAGGAATAGAACATAGAAGTACTAGAATAATTTGATTTTTTAAGATCTGGCTTGAGCCTTTTGCTTTTATTTGTATTTTTATTTCTTCTTACTTATTCTGGTACTAAAATAGCTGTTTTAGGTATAAATACGCAAAAGAAATCGATCTGCGGCTTTGAAAGTTATTAGAAGCATGCTTCTTGCTCATCCTTCTGGGAAGTTTATTTGCCTTGTGAGAGGTTCTCATTGATTTCAAACTCAAATGCTTGATATTGCTTGTATCTAATCGTAAGAATGAAGATTACTTCTGCATCATTTTTCTAAGGTTTGAAAGGACAAATCTTACTTAGGTGATAATTTCTCATTATTGTAGATTTCGTTGTACAAGATTCCCCACATTGAAGGGAACTTATCCTTCTCTGTGAAGTTTATGACAGGATAGTTAAAGCTGAGGTATTTGCTAGACTTGTTAAAATTTGCTTACCCTTGCTCCATCCCTTCGTTAAGATCTTTGCGGACTTTTGTTTGTATCTTCGACCAAAATTGTGCGTTAAATTCTATGAATAAGTTATTTTCGAGCACAGGGCATTCATGGTGAAAGAAGTACCTTGCTTAGACATTTATTTAAAAAATGTTTTCAATAATAATTCAGCAGATGGGGTTTTGGGGTTTTGGGGTTTTGGGGTTTTGGGG